AAAAAAAAAAAAAGATATCTACCCCTGTGCTTATGAGTCATTAGTTCTTGCAAGAGAGCTGGATGTCTGTATGTTACAGTGTTTCCTCAGCATTTAGAAGGAGGCAGTCATTGGATGAATTTCTGAAATATTCTTGATTCATTTATAATATCCTCTCTGCTACCTGGACATAGTGCTTGGACTTTGGAGATGCCACAGCACACATTTATTCTTTCTTTTTATAAATAGGAATCTGTCTTCCTGACCTGAGTATTATCTCCACGTTGAAGCAAAGTAGAGGTCCCTGGAATCTGCAGAGTGAAGTGAAAATAGAGAACACTCCAGATGGCAGGGAATGCATCAAAGGTGTGAACACAGGTAAGAGCTTGAATGGGTAGAGTGGAGGCACCATAATTTTCTTTGGAGATATTCTCTCTCTGCCATCAGGCTGGAGTGCAGTGGTGCGATCTTGGCTCACTGCAACCTCCACTTCCTGGGTTCAAGTGATTCTCCTGCCTCAGCCTCCCAAGTAGCTGGGCCTACAGGCGCTCACCTGTAATCACAGCTACTCCAGAGGCTGAGGCAAGAGAATCACTTGATTTTCCTAGAAAATTTTTTGTATTTTTATTACAGGCGAGGTTTCACCATGTTGATCAGGATGATCTTGATCGCCTGACCTCATGTTCTACCTGCCTCAGTCTCCTGAAGTGCTGGGATTACAGGCATGAGCCATCACACCTGACCTTAATTTATTTTTTTGAGAGAGAGTCTGTCTCAAAAAAGGGCAGTGGTGCAATCTTGGCTCATTGCAACCTCTGCCTCTTGGGTTCAAGCCATTCTCAGGCCTCAGTCCCCCAGGTAGCTGGGATTACAGGTGTGCAGCACCAAGCCTGGTTGACTTTTGTTTTTGTTTTTGTGTTTTCAGTAGAAATGGAGTTTCGCCATGTTGACCAAGCTTGTCTCAAACTTTTGGCCTTAAGTGATCCACCCAACTTAGCCTCCCAAAGTGCTGGGATTATAAGCATGAGCCACTGCTCCTGGCCATATTATCATTATTATTACTGTTATTATTATTTATTTTACTACGTTTTTGAAAACAAGTGGCTTTTAGTTACATGGATAAGTTCTTTAGCGGTGATTTCTGAGGTTTTGGTGCACCCATCACCAGAGCATTGTACACTGTATTCAATGTATAGTCTTTTCTCCCTCACCCCACTCCCACCTTTTCTCCCATGACCCGAAAGTCCATTGCATTATTTTACACTTTTGCATCCTCCTAGCTTAACTCCCAATTATGAATGAGAACATAAAATATTTGGTTTTCCATTCTTGAGTTAGTTCACTTAGAATAATGGTCTTCAAATTCCATCCAGGTTGCTGTGAATGCCATTATTTCATTCCTTTTTATAGTTCAGTAGTATTCCATATTATATATATATATACACGTATATATATATATGTAAATATATATCCATATATATATCTGTGTGTATATATATATATATACACGTGTATATATATACGTATGTATATACTTGTATATACAAAAATATATATATACACGTATATACAAAATATAGATGTATATATGTATATACGTATATATGTGTATATACATATATACAAAAAAGTATATATGTGTGTATATATATATATATGTATAAATATATATGTATATTTATATGTGTGTGTATATATGTGTATAAAAATATATATATTGGGCCGGTCGCGGTGGCTCAAGCCTGTAATCCCAGCACTTTGGGAGGCCGAGGGGGGTGGATCACGAGGTCAAGAGATCGAGAC